TTTCTGAGAGAGAGAGAGACAGCATGAGCAGGGGAGGGTCAGAGAGAGAGGGAGGCACAGAATCCAAAACAGGCTCCAGGCTCTGAGCTGTCAGCACAGAGCCCGACGCGGGGCTCGAACACCCACGGCCTAACATAATGATAGGTCTCACATCTCAATACCCATGGCCGTGCTCTTAGTCAGCCGTTGCCCTACAACTTATACCCAGGGCCCAAACAAAGATGAACTGGTCTCTATCTTTCCTGTGTGGGGAATCCCTGCTCTTAATCCCAGGAGGGCGGGACTTCCAGCATCACTGGCCATTACTCACACCCACACACGAGCAATTTCTCCATATTTAGGACATTAGATGGTGGCCAAACAACGATCAGTGATGACACCCTCACTCGCTATGGCCCCTGCCGTCCAGAGAGAACACAAACAGCCCACAACCTGCCTCCTTGTCAAGGGCCCTCCTTTCCTTTCCTTCAAAACATTTATTTTCTAATTAAAAACCACAGCTTTCTCAATTAAGCATCTTCTTGTCTCACAAAAATATAAGCACCAAGACGGTAATAACTGGTGTCTTTCACGCCTGTGTTATCTACAGCCTAGAGTGGCTTCAATATTTGTGCTAAATTGTATTTTCAGCCTACACTTGCTGACAGTGTTGAAAGATGAGCAGAGGAGCCCTGTCTCTGAGCAAGAAGGGCTTCACTGGAAGAGGGATCTGGACCCTGTCACTTCCGGAGTTGCTGTTCCTGGACAATTTCCCTAAACTTGTAAGCATTACTCACAAGAGAAATAATAATAAGTCTTACACATGTCACTAAAGAGTATGTGATTTGAAACATATATGCTTTAAGTGAGGTACTTTAAGGAAGTGTCCAATACCCTGTAGGGCATGTTTCAGTATTTAAATAACAAGAAAGGTAAGGCTGTTCCAGAAAACTGCAAGCAAGCCTAGTACGAGCTAGCCCAGTACTCCGTGCAAGGCCTAGGCTGTTGAAAAGTATCTCACATGTCCGCCATCAGACACAGCTACTTTGTAACCATTTTGGATCAAGATAAAACAAAGCTATTCTACCACCAAGTCTCTAACATGACAAGAGAGAACAAATCCCACAGAAATAACCAAAATGGCCCTCTATTCACTAATCTGATTTCTGCCTCTTACAAATGAGGTTTACCATCACCCCATTCCTTCTGCCTTCTATATAAGAGGTATTATGATTATGAGAGAATTAAGTTCACTACCTCGAAGCCCCAGTACAGGAAGACATCTTCCTTTCTTAAATAACAATCAAATAACCTACCGCAAGTCAAAATTCGGTAAGAATTCCTTTTAATAAAGTGTGCTGATACTGTTATTACACAGCAGTTATTTATGGCTTATGGTCATCCTTATTTCTAGACTTCATATACAGTTGTCTTTGACTACAGATGCGACATTAGTGGTCTTGGGCAAAATGGAGCTGAAAATGTTTGTGGTTTTATGAACAAATGAGAAATGACTTTTATCATAAAAATTCTAAGTGTAAAAGAATCTTTAAACATTTTCCTAAGGAAAAAAAAATACTCAAATTTATACACATACAATAATATTGACTTATAATGTGTAATGATTAAATAGAGAAAATTACAAAAGTTGATCTGAAAATCCATAATTACAAGATATTTTAGGAGCACCTGGGTGGCTCAGTTGGTAAAGCATCTGACTCTGGCTCGGGTCACCATCTCGCAGTTCATGGGTTTGAGCCCACTCCAGCTCAGAGCCTGGGGCCTGCTTCGGATTCTGTGCCTCCCTCTCTCTGCCCTTCCCCCACTCATGCTTGGTTTTTCTCTCAAAATAAAAAACACATAAAAATTTTCTTTAAAATAAAAAAATAAGGTATTTTAATATCCTCTCAGGAAATGAGAACCATAATACCGCATATTAGCATACAAGTGCTTGTTAAAATTAATCAAGTATTTCTAAGAAAAAACCATAAATGAATTCATTAGAGAAAAAAATGCAGATATTTTCAATCATATATCAAGCAAGATAAGTGACAATGTATTCAGGGATTATGCTCAACTGTGAACAGAGGAAACACCCAGAATCTGCCTGATAGGAGAAAAGGTGCCGATTCTCAAGTGCAAGGGCTGGCTCATAGCAGTCACGGCCGGTGCATGTCATTTTGTCAGACTGCACCACTACAGCTGTCAGAGGGGAATCAGAAACCCACAAGCAACAGTGGTATTAACAGCAAACGGTGTTTGCTATACAAATTAGACCCTATATGAATAAAGTCTAGGAAAGAGGGGAGTAGCACTTCAGAGAACATTCTCAACCCCGACAACCTAAATATGTGCATACCTGAGACCTTGCATGAAAATTTAACCCATGCTGGGTCTTTGATGTAGAACTTGAGACACAACTATAGAAGCCTACTGCTTGGGTCCAATGGAAGTCAAGCACTTGGGTGATGGTTTTGAGATTCTTTTTTTTTTTTTAATTTTTTAATGTTTTATTTATTTTTGAGAGAGAGATAGAGACAGCGTGAGAAGAGGAAGGTCAGAGAGAGAGGGAGACAGAATCCAAAGCAGGCTCCAGGCTCTGAGCTGGCTGTCAGCACAGAGCCTGATGGGGGGCTCAAACCCATGAACTGTGAGATCATGACCTGAGCCGAAGTCGGACGCTCAAACGACTGAGCCACCCAGGCGCCCCGAGATTATTCTGGATTCTCAGAAAAAAAGAATGAGGAAAACAGGCTGTAAGCTTGAGTCCATGAAGGCCTATGCTTCTAGCTGCCTCTATACAGGCGGCTGAAAAACATGCCTAATCCCATTTCACTTCTGTGCTCCCAGTTTCATATAAGGTAGGCTCTTGTGGATTCTAACACGGAACCATAAACGCAATAGATACTGGAAAACATACTTCACAAGATTACTGACTTTGACATTAACAGCATCAAGGAGGGTCATCTCCAACTCTGGATTTATTATTGTTCTATCTCACACAGTCCTCTATTCTTAATGTAACTCTATACTCCAAATCCCTGCCATAAGCAATGACAAACAACAAAGGACAAAAGATGAAAATAATGGGACACCCGGGTGGCTCAGTTGGTTAAGCATCTGACTTAGGCTCAGGTCATGATCTCAGTCTGTGGGTTCAAGCCCCACATTGGGCTCTGTGCTGACAGCTCAGAGGCTGGAGCCTGCTTCAGATTTCTGTCTCACTCTCTCTCTGACCCTCCCCCACTCATGCTCTGTCTCTCTCCATCTCTCAAACATGAATAAACATTTTTTAAATTTTTAATGTTTTATTTATTTCTGACAGAGAGAGGGGCAGCGTGAGCACGGGAGGGTCAGAGAGAGAGAGGGAGATACAGAAACCAAAGCAGGCTCTAGGCTCTGAGCTAGCTGTCAGCACAAAGCCCGACGCGGGGCTCGAACCCACGAACCGTGAGATCATGACCTGAGCCGAAGTCAGACACTTAACCGACTGAGCCACCCAGGTGCCCCAAAAATGAATAAACATTAAAAATTTTTTTAACTTGGGGCGCCTGGGTGGCTTAGTCAGTTAAGCGCCCGACTTTCACTTAGGTCATGATCTCACGGTTCGTGGGTTCGAGCCCCGCGTCGGGCTCTGTGCTGACTGCCAGCTCGGAGCCTGGAACCTGTTTCAGTCTGTGATTCCCTCTCTCTCTGACCCTCCCCTGCTCACGCTGTCTCTCTCTCTCTCCTAGAAATAAATAAAACATTAAAAAAAATTTTTTTTAACTTTAAAAAGAAAATAATAATTCACAAAACTATATGGTGAGCTTTGCATACTGACAACTACATGCAACTATTGTTTGGTAAGGAAAACAGAAAGAGGCTCTTAAGATCATTGAAAAGGGAACTCTCTGGGGCGCCTGGGTGGCTTAGTCGGTTAAGCGTCCGACTTTCACTTAGGTCATGATCTCGCGGTTCGTGGGTTCCAGCCCCGTGTCGGGCTCTGTGCTGACTGCCAGCTCAGAGCCTGGAGCCTGTCTCAGAGTCTGTGTCTCCCTCTCTCTCTGACCCTCCCCTGCTCACGCTGTCTCTCTCTCTCTCAGAAATAAAATAAAAATATTTAAAAAAAAAAGAAAAGAAAAGGGAACTCTCTGTTAATAAAGAAATGTAGAGTATGGAAATAATGGCTAAAGCGTACTGAGTACATGCCCCAAAGAAGGACTCTAGGGAAAGGGAAATAAAGTATTTTTCAATGTTCCCTTCCTCACAGAACTTAAATCATATAAAAATTAAACCTACTTGTATATTAGAAATACATGTCAGTAACCCGTGGATCCAACAGACTTCTAAATAAGAACACAAAATGGGGCGCCTGGGTGGCTCAGTCAGTTAAGCGTCCGACTTCGGCTCAGGTCATGATCTCACGGTTCGTGGGTTCGAGCCCCCCGTCAGGCTCTGTGCTGACAGCCAGCTCAGAGCCTGAAGCCTGCTTCGGATTCTGTGTCTCTCTCTCTCTCTCTCAGAAATAAATAAAACATTTTAAAAATTTTTTAAAAAACAAAGAACACAAAAATATTACTCAGGAAAAAATTTCTGTACTAAACTCAGTAACTCTTGCTTAAAGGGTATCTACTTTATTATTTCACTTCAATATCTGCTTTCAAAGGTAAGTGGAAGTCCATAGTACAGCGAATCACTTTAAAAATGAATCCTTTGAGTGGCTCAGTTAGTTAAGCATCCAACTTGATTTTGACTCAGGTCATGATCTCATGGTTGTGAGATCGAGTCCCACGTTAATCCACACTGGGCATGGAGCCTCCTTAAGATTCTCTCTCCCTGTCCCTCTGCCCTCCCCCACCACATGGGTGCACACTCTCTCTCTCTCAAGAGAATGAATCCTTGATAAAGACCATACATGTGTAACGTTTATAATATTTTTCATGTCGTGAATTTTCAGACATATTCTGAATGTTCAAAGACCTTACCCATATTCCTTGAGTATGGTTTCTTTCCCATACAATTTTCACACTGCCTTGAAAGTATCTGTAAAAATTATAAAGTTTTTATTTTTTAGTTATACAGGCTGAATCCAGTGGATGTTTGTTTAGTGATGTGGGTAAGTGAAGGGTTCCTACACTGTGTATCATCATTAGAATTCTCTCCACTGACTTTTTTTCTAAGTTCTGAAGGAAACAGGACAACTGAAGGCTTTCCTATGTTCCGTACGTTTCTACAATTCCTCTCCAGTGTGCATTCTTACAAGTCCATGAAAGAAAGTGCAACAAATCTTGTGTTTTCTCACATTCCTTGTTTTCAGAGCCTTTCTCTCACGTATGACTTCTTTCGTGATTTCGTAAAGAATTCATAAGACTAAACGCTTTACCACAAGTTTTACATTGATAAGGTTTCTCTCCAGTGTGAGTTCTTTCATGTGTTCGTAATGAACTGGGAGAAAGAAATGCTTTCTTACATTTCTTACATTTATAAGGTCCATCTCCAGTGTGGATCACCATGTGTGATCGAACACCTGAGCGAAAAATGAAGCCTTTCCCACATTCCTTACATTCATAGGGTTTTTCTCCAGTGTGAGTTCTTTCATGCTTTTGAACATAATAGTGGCTGCTGAAGGCCTTACCACATAGTTTACACTCATAGCGTTTATCATCAGTATGAGATCTCTCATGTTTGCGTAAGTTACTTGAGTATCTAAAGACTTTACCACATTTTGTACATTCATAGGGCTTTTCAGCGCTGTGTGTCTTTTCGTGGATCCGGAAGGACTGGGGACAGCTGAAGGCTCTTCCACACTGCTTACATTCGTATGGTTTTACTCCAGTGTGAGTTCTTTCATGAATTCGGAAGTAATTGGGACAACTGAAAGCTTTCCCACATTCCTTACACTTGTAAGGTTTCTCCCCCGTATGGGTTCTTTCGTGATTTCGAAGGGAACTGGGATACCGGAAAGCTTTCCCACACTCCTTACATTCATGAGGCTTCCTTGCGGTATGAATTCTCCTGTGTTTTCCAAGGGACCTGGGAGAACTGAAAGCTTTCCCACAGTCCTTACATTCATACGGCTTTACTCCACTGTGTGTCATTTCATGACTACGACAGTTCTTGGGACACCTGAAGGCTTTCCCACAGTCCTTACATTTATAGAGTCCGTCTGCATTGGGCTTGATCACGGGTCTTTGAAATCTGGCGAGAGAATGCAAGGCTCTCCCACCTTCTTTACATTCATAGAGTTTTTCTCCATTGTGACTTCTCTCATGTTTGTGTAAATTACTTGAATAACTGAAGGTTTTACCACATTTGGTACATTCCTTGGGCTTTTTCGCACTATGTATCCTTTCGTGTATTCGAAAGGACCTGAGACAACTGAAAGCTTTGCCGCACTGCTTACATTCACTAGATTTCTCTCCAATATGAGTCCTTTCGTGTTTACGCAAGTTACTCGAATAACTAAAGGTTTTAACACATTTTGTACATTTGTAGGGCTTTTCCCCATTGTGTGCCCTTTCGTGAATTTGAAAGTAATTGCGACAAATGAAAGCTTTCCCACAGTGCTTACATTCATAGGGTCTCTGTCCGGTGTGCGACCTTTCATGCATTCGAATGGATTGGCGATGCTTGAAGGATTTCCCACAATGCTTACATTTGTAAGGTTTCTCTTCACCTTCTTGATACTCATATGGTCTGTGTCCAGTGTGAGACCTCATGTGCTTGCTAAAGGAGGAATGATGCACGAACACCTGTCTACACAAAGTGCATTTACGTAGTTTTCTTCCAGTAGGAGTTTTCTTCTTCAGATTCTGATTTGGAATCTGGCCCAAGATGCCTTCATACTGGCGACATTCTTTACTTTTACAGAGCCTTTGTCCCATCTGTCTGCTGTAAAAAATGAGAAGCATATTACTAATAGCTTGGTTATGAATGAGCTTATGTTTATTAATAACCATGACAGTGACTTGTTACCATTTTCAAGGAAAATGTAGGTTTTCTGCAGATTTTGATTGTTTGAGGGTGAACATACCAAAAGCCCTGCAACAGGGCTCCACTTTAGCTATTATCAAAACGGCAACACTCATAAGTGGTTATTTCTCCCTGTTTCCAGGAGTTCCATTTTTCAAAAACCGCACATCTCGGCCCCATGTGGGAAAAAAAACTATTGGTGAAAATATCCTAACGGTTGGGGCGCCTGGGTGACTCAGTCGGTTGAGCGGCCGACTTCAGCTCACATCATGATCTCACGGTTCATGGGTTCGAGCCCTGTGTTGGGCTCTGTGCCGACAGCTAGAGCCTGGAGCCTGTTTTGGATTCTGTGTCTCCCTCTCTCTCTGACCCTGCCCTGCTCATGCTGTCTCTCTCTCTCTCTCTCGTCTCTCTCTCTCTCTCTCTCTCTCAGAAATAAATAAAACATTTTAAAAAATTTTAAAAAAGAAAGAAAATATCCTACAGGTCAATGGATTTAAAGCTGGACTGATTTCTTTGTTTTTAAAATTTCACGGGGGCACATGGCTGGCTTCATTGGTGGAACATCTGACTCTTGACCTCAGGGTTAGGAGTTCAAGTTCCACGCTGGGTGTAGAGATCATGTAAAAAAAAATAAAACTTAAAAGTTCATAAAGTGTCTAGATTCTCTCATGAAACCTTGTTTTCCCATGTGAAAGTTACTCACATTAGATGTGTCACATGATTCTCGTCCCCATCTTCACTGTCATAGACTTCCCATTTTTCTTCTGAAATGCATGCTAGGAAAAAACATTATCAATTATAAAGATTTATAGAAAAATTGCTAGATTCTAGGTCCATGAGAAGTTGTGATCATGGCAGGTTTAGGAACGGAAACATTCCCTTTCCATTTTTTCCCTCAAAATAGCACAGGTGAGCAAGTTACCCCGGATCTCCAATTGACTTAGTAAGCGAGAAATGTCATCATCCCTACCTATCGAAGCCAGGTTCCGGAAGGTTTCCTGCATCACATCTCTGTAGAGTTTCTTCTGGGATGGATCCAGGAGGGCCCACTCCTCCATGGTGAACTTCACGGTCACATCCTCAAAGGCCACTGCGTCCTAAATAATCCCATATATGTACACAGGATATGGATGAGACAGACCACTGAAGACCTATACTCAATTGATAAGAAGTTCACATATGGCTTCCAGAGCCTAAGTGACCTGGGGGACAAAGGTATTTCTTTCCTCGCTCCTCCACAGGTGGGGCAGATGGTCGGGTTTTCTCACTTCTGACACCAAATATGTGGTATCTGTTCCCAGGGCACTTCTCCAATTCTATGTCACTAAAAAGGTGTCCAACAGTTCAATTCTAACACGCATAGGTTAAAAAATCAGTCCCACACATTGTCCCTGTTTGAGACAGGAGTTCTAAAAGGGGAACCCAGTTTACTATTTCTACAGCCAACTACAAATTCACAGATTCCCTCCACACTCTGCCCTGTTTGGAAATTTACTGAAGTGATTTTGAGGAACTTAGCAAAATGCTTTATTTACCATTACCAGTTTACTATAAGCATGAGACAAAAGGTGCAATACATAGGACAAGTGAAGACAATGGTAAGGGGAACGGAGATGGGGGTGTTGGGCTCCAGAGCTCCCACCCCCGTATGGACAGGCCAACCTCCCAGCACCTGGATGGATTCACCAACACAGAAACCGTCAGAATCCGGTCTTTAAGAATTTTGATGGGGGTTTCATTACATGGACACAATTTATCAAATCACTGGCCACTGGTAATCAGCCTCTGGTCCCCATTCTACGCCCAGAAGCTGGGAGCTGCAGCTCAACCTTCTAAAGCCTGAATCAAAGTTTGCTGTTTCAGGTGTACAAAACTCCACCATAAACACTACCTAGTAAGTGGCCAAGAGTTGCCTCATGAAACAAAACACATTCTTTCACCATTAACGCTCAAGTAATCTCAAGGGCTTCAAAAGCCTTTTGCTAGGAACTGAGGACACTCTTCTCATACATCTTTCTCATCATACGTTGTATCACAGTAGGTGAAGCCCAGGGACAAAGGCTCACTAAAACCTGGAGAGCAAATCACTGAGGCAAGAGAATGTTTCCCCACTGAGCCCGTGTGCCTCTACATTATCTTGTTTAATGTACGTGCATCACCTTGAAGGAACGACACATGCTTTTTGGTAACCTCAGAACAAAGGCAAGAATGTCCCCTCTCACTACACTTAGACAATCTTGTACTGGATGGAATTCTTAGCTACGCATTCAGACAAGGAGAATAAAAGGTAAATAACAAAAAAATAATAGGCAGACATTTAGAGAAGCCAGAAATAACAACTTTGTGTCATACGACAAGACTGTCAATTGAGAAAATGTCAAAAAATTCCAAGTAACAAAGAAAACCCCATGAACTGAGAAGAGGAAAATTAAAAGATACAAAGTCAGTATAGAAAAGGCAATTGCTTTTTTCTAGATCTACACAAATACACTGCACTGATCTTTGACTAAGAACCAACAAAGTTAACTCAAAGGGAAACAGTCTTTTCAACAAATAACGTCAAAAAAACTGGACTTGCAGACACAAAAATAAATAAATAAATCTACAGACTTTACACCTTTCACAAAAACTAACTCAAATTTGATCACAGATCTTAGGGTATATTGTAGAATTTCAACACACCCCTAAAAGATTAAGATAGGAGAAAATCCTGGTGATACAGCATTTGCTGATTAATTTTTAAGAAAACAAAAGCAGGGGCACCTGGCTGGCTCAGTCGGTGGAGCATGGGACTCTTGATCTCGGGGTAGGGAGTCTGAGCCCCACGTTGGGTATAGAAACTATTTAAAAAAAAAAAAAAGCAAGATCTACGAAAGAAGAAACTACCTTGGACTTCATTACAATGAAAAACTACTCAGTGAAACAAGTTAACAGAATGAAAACTTGAGCAATAATCTGGCAGAAGATCTTTAGAAATCACTTATCTGATAAAGGCCTGGTCTCAAATACTAAAATTAAAAGCACTTAAAACACCAAAACAATTGGGGAAATGGAAAGCAACAGGTAGCCTCATTCATTGCTGGTGGAAACAGAAAATGATATACCTACTTTGGAAGAAAGGCAATTTTTTCTCCTTTAAAAATTTTTTAAAAATTATTTAAATTTATTTCTGAGAGAAAGCGAGAGCGAGCAAGCGAGCTGGGGAGGGTCAGAGAAAGGGAGACACAGAAACGGAAACAGGCTCTGAGCTGGCTGTCAGTATAGAGCCCGACGTGGGGCTCAAACCCATGAACCCTGAGACCATGACCTGAGCCAAAGTCAGACACTTAACCGACTGAGCCATCCAAGTGCCCCAAGAAAGGCAATTTCTTAACACTAAGGCCACATTTATCACAGTAGCAATGATGCATTTCAAATTTACACAAATGAGCAGTAACTTTGTTCATAAAAATCCTACATGTGAATGTTTACAGGAGCTTTATGCATACTTACACGGAACCAAGATCATTTCAATAGATGAGCGGATAGAAAATATCACTGGTGCGTCCACAGGATGAAATACTTTTCAGCAGTAAAAGAAACGAGCTCAACAAGCCAAAAGAGATGAAGGAAATTTTAAATCTTATTTCTAAGTGAAAGAAGACAATATGACAAGGCTACACACTGAATGATTCCAAGGGCATGACATTCCAGAAAAGAGAAAATTAAAAGCCACTAAAAGATCTCTGGTTACCAGGGATATGGGGTTGGGAGGGAGGGATGAACGAGGCAGGGAATAGGAGATTTTCAGGGGAGTGGAAATGTTCTATGTGATAGAGAAATGATGGAGACACATCATTTCACATTAGCTAAAAATCTGAGAATATATGACACAGAGTCGACTTTCACTGTAAACTATGGACTTTCATGCATTAAAGTTCGTTCAACAAATGTAACAAGTATATTACAAAAACACAAGATATAAAATATAGGAAAAACCTTGTCCAGGCAGAGGGATTATGTGGGAAGTCTCTGTACTTTCTTTTTTTTAATTTTTTTAATGTTTTATTTATTTCTGACAGAGAGGCAGCATGAGCAGGGTAGGGTCAGAGAGAGAGAGGGAGACACAGAATCTGAAGCAGGCTCCAGGCCCCGAGCTAGCTGTCCGCACAGAGCCCGGTGCGGGACTCGAACCCACTAACCATGAGATCGTGACCTGAGCCAAAGTCGGACGGTTAACCACCCAGGCGCCCCTGTACTTTCTGATTAAGTTTTCTGTTAACCTAATTGCTCTTAAAATTTAAAAAAAAAAAAAAAAAAGTCTACTAGGAAAAGAAAAAGGCAGATACATTAATATTCACCCCTGGTAACTGACCCATGAGAAGCACAGACCATCTTTCATTCAATGAATTGCAACTGATTTCAGGAAGCCATCATGCTGCTCTATGAAACCTGCATCCTGAGACTTGGAAGGGAGGAGGAACTTGCACTGAATGCCTTGTTCCAGCCGCCAGCACAGTGTACTTGGAGAAGGAAAGGACTTGTCTTCGTTACTGTCAGGAACAGCTTGACTCATAGATAACAAGTGTCCTGGCAAGGCCTTGCATTCTGGCCGTCGTATATGCAGGGATGCGTGTGACTGTGATTTACATTGGGGGTGATGGAGGCCTAAGATTCCTAGAGTTCTTTCACCCCAAAGGAGCAACTCAGAGAATCACTCAAGACTAGTAAACAGGTGAAGGTAGTGTCTCGTAGCCTGGTGCTAAAACACCCGTGGGTAGCAATGACCATGGGGTCTGGCTGTTAGCGAGAGATCCCAATTAAGACATAAAAAGCAACAATTCTGGAACGCCTGGGGGGCTCAGTTGGTTGAGCGTCCCTGACTTTGGCTCAGGTCATGACCTCACAGTTCATGAGTTTGGGCCCTGTGTTGGGCTCTGTGCTGACAGTGTAGAGGCTGCTTGGGATTCCCTCTCTCTCTCTCCCCTCCCCTGCCAAATAAATATTTTTTTTTCTTTAATGCTTTGTTTATTTTTGAGAGAGAGAGACAGAGAGACAGCTTGAGCAGGGGAGGGTCAGAGAGACGGAGACACAGAATCTGAAACAGGCTCCAGGCTCTGAGCCGTCAGCACAGAGCCCAATGCGGGGCTCGAACCCACGAACCGCGAGATCATGACCTGAACCAAAGTCGGACGCTTAACCGACTGAGCCACCCAGGCGCCCCCCCCCCCAATAAATAAATGAACTAAAAAATGCAGCAATTCTGCCTACGCTCCATCATGTACAAATGTGGCGCTGTCATACCGAAGATCTATGAACTACCATTGTTTTTCACTCAGGAACTCCTACGGAGCACCTCGGGGAGCCCAGGAACCTGGGAAAGGGGGGAACTTATTCCAGCGCTATGGCCTCTCGCAAGAGACGGAGCAGAGGGTAGGCCACCTCCTCCTGTAGGTGGTCCCCCCAGGTCCCCCACAGTCCAAGGCTTGCCCCAGGAGGTCTCAAGTTGGTAAAGGAGCAGGCCTTATTCAAGGCCATCACGGGTAACTCCAGGAGGCAAGAAAGGAGGCCAACGAAGCATCTTCAGTGAAGAAGTCCCCGTGGGCCCTACTAGGAGTGCCAGTTCGATGGCAACTTGAAGAACCTCCAGCCTTTGGAGGGGCCCACTGGTAAATAACAGCATAAATATGTTACCTCTGGACATCAAAAGAACATCGCTGAGGCTGTGGGTGCTGACAGGGAGAGGAGCTATTTCCTCATGATGTTAGAGAAGGAGTGCGTTTCAGATTCTCAAACGATTTCCAGGAAAATAACAAACAAGGTTGACCAGGCCTCACATTTTACGCATGACAACGTCCCGTCCACATTCTGAGCTCCTTTTTCAGTACGTTTGTCTGGGGTGTTCGCAGAGGAGGAGGAGGTCATTAACGTAGTGGGACACCTGTGTTCTTGCAGAAAGCAGGATGCGGCGCAGGCCTTGCCTACAGTCGTGTGGGAAGGCAAAGCTGCTCAAGCTCCATGACCTACAGGTAGATGATGTCCCTTCAAAGTGAAAGGCAACTGCTGTTGCGATAAACACCGAACAGAACGGGCCCGGCCAAATCTGTGACAGCAGGGT